TTTTATTGATTATGATTGATATGTTTCCCTTCATGTTAAATCTAAATATACATAATGTACGTATATGTAACATATATCTAACTGCATTGAGCTAAACAGCTTGGAAAGATTGCCAAAGATAAATACTATCTTGTTGAAGGTTAAGTTTGATTTTGCTATATGTATAAAAATAAAAAAAATCTTAAAATTTATTCAACAGACAATTTAAGGCTGAACAGACCAATTGCAACATTATTTAAAAAAAATGTTTTAAGAATTTAAGAAATAAATATTAGAGATTTTTATTTCAGTTTTATTCCATTTTGCTGGAGGCAAGGTCACTAAGTTTAAGTAATGACCAAAGTTTTCCGAATACAGCCGGATCCAAGTAGTTTTTCAAGTAAACTAGCTGAAAACTTAGCTGAAGTACTTTTGGGTTCATTATAACAAATGGAAAAACGACGAATGGGTTTGTTTTTCGTAGCGAGTATCCAAATATGCAGTACAAATATATTTCTAAAATAAAATTATTTTTAATATTCTATACATATATATATATAAAGTAAGGTATAGAATATTAAAAAAACATATGTTTTTTTTAATATTCTATACCTTAGTAATTTCTCATAATTTTTAATTATCACTATTATAATTTATTCACATATTCAATTTAATATGACTAAAAGTACATATTTTAGAAAAGAGTTACTACATAGGATTTTATTACACAATTTTTTTTTTTTAAGTCGGCTGATAATAATCAAAATCCCCTTTCTCGCTGAACACATATTATATAGACTAAACTAAACGCATATAGAAACAAAACAAGATAAATAAGGGCATTAATTTTACACCAAATATATTAAAAAAAAGTTTAAGTTTCACTTACATTTTACCACAAAATAATTTAAGTAAGTTTGTGCTTTTTTTTTTCAATTTTAAAAAGAAGAAAAAAAAGATGAAAATTTACCTTCTAAGACTCATTTTGGAAAAATCTTGAAATTTAACAACACACAAAATAAGTTGTTAAGTTTTTCTATATTTGAAAGTTAACAAATGAAAGTTACGAAAATAAACACTGCGACTTTTTTAACACGAGTATCGAAAACAATTTAAAATTAAATGTCACATTTTAAGTTCATATACAATATTAATCAATCCAAGTTATTTTTGAAATTCGAACTTATATTTAGGTCTAAAATACAAGATTCTCGCCAGCCAACATCGGGCCACCGTTTTCGCGGATAGACTGAGTTTTGTCGTAGCACGTAACGGCTGGTCTCTTCGGAACTAAGCCCATATCAAAATAGACCTTTACTAATACAACATAAAGTTGAATTTACTTCAACAATGTGATACGACGGAAATACCATATATAAGTTAAAATATATTCAACTCTATTCCTATTACATTAAGCTTTTGTTGTAACATGATAAATGTGTCAAGCATGTTTATATGTTCTGTTTGACTTTGAATAGGTACATAAAATATATTTTTTAATTTAAACCCTTATGTATTAAACAAATCATCATATAAATATAGAAATAATGTGAAGGTAACTCAAAAAATAACTAACGAAACTATGCAATTTTTTTTGTTTTGATAATTCGAGGAAAAATGTTATCAATCGACGAAACATTGTTTCAAAACCTTCTGCTTTTAAAATACCAACACGTAGCCATATCGGTGAGTTTGGTATTAATATTACTGTATCTGGCGTCAGGTCTGACAAGGGTTACTTTCCCATTTAAAATGCGTATGAAATTCATGCGTATATTTTTCGAAAATGGATGTTTATAATCTTACTAATATTATAAATGTTTGGATAGATAGATGGATGAACGGATGTTTGTTTGAAGGTATCTCCATAACCGGCTGTGTCGATCTCGCTGAAATTTGGCATAGATGTAGAACATAATATAGAAGAACACATATACTGCTTATTAAGTTATTTCATTCCGGGCGGACGGAAACGCAGGTGACAGCTAAAATATCATAAATTCTTTTTCTTTTTCCGAAAAAATGTTAAAGATTATTTTTAGTTAATCATCTCAGTTATAAGCGATAATATAAATAAATAAATAACGTAGATGATTAAAATATGTTTATCCTTGTATTGTGCTACATTTATATATGGGAGAGATGTATTTAAGAAATTAGATTTACAAATGAATAGTATGTATTCTCTCTATTCATTACTTTAAATGGACACACCTGAATGAAACTGGGTCACCTTTCTAACACAACGTATGAAGGGAATCTGTAAACGCTCTAAGACAAATCTAAGACTCACTATAGGGTAGTATGTACAGCAGTATGTACAGCAGAATACAACTCAATAGAAGATACTTAATACTGTATTTTCTTGGTCGTAGATATATAACCCCAATTTATTGGTTAATGGTTTAGTATGCTGTTGTTTATTTCGATTGGAATGCATTCTTACAGTTTGTATTTACATTAAAAGCAAAATATTTTACAACTCTCATTGTAAATAACTAGAAAAGGCTAGGCTTCAAGAAGACATGTAAAGCTTCCTACAGTCATAATGTGAAAGTTATACTTGAAAAAATTTATATGTATTTTAATGTATAGTCAATCAATACGGTATATGATACATAATTAATTAATTTCATAAAGTTCTAACAGATGTCGTTAGACGTACAATAACATTGTAATTAAATTATGTCATGGATAACATATCTAGAAATAAATTGAATTAACTGTACTAAAACCCAAATCTGAGAGAGTACAAGTTTCTAAATTCACCACAAAACTGTAAACGTAATGAGATAATAGAGGGCTTTCTTCGCCCTGACTTAATTCAAATAAAATTAAATATATACATACACTGTTTGTTCATATTCTACACGTGACACTGGATTAGAAAACAACAACAAAGCAAATACATAGGTCAGACTAGAAACTGGTTTATACCAGACTAGCTGTCACCTACAACACCGTCTGCGCGGAATTAAAAAAAAAAACTTAATTAGTAGCCTATGTGTTATTCCAGAATATGTACTATATGTATGCCAAATTTCATCGAGATTTGTCGAGCAGTTTTGGAGATACCTTCAAACAAACATCCATGCATCCATCTAAACTTTAACATTTATAATATTATATAATATATTAGTAAGATTAATGTATGCTACCCACTCTTTATGAAATTGCGGTTAAGCAATTGCTTTTAATACATAACTAAGGACTTGCTCATGTTTTCAATACCAATTAAGTTTTTAAATTGGATCCTGTTTGAAAATGGAAATGGGGACAAGCGTTTTATTACCTCATGAATACAACGCTTAATGTAATTGTTTTTCAAGCTTTTCTCGAACGACGAAAAAGGTTTTTGTATCTCTGTGGACCAAATGTCGTTAGACATGATATTATTTCTAGACTTTTTTTAACTCAGTAAGTCGACTATATCATTTTATTTAATGGTATTTGTTACTTAATTGAACATATTTTATAAAAAAAATTGACTGTAATCACAGACCGATATAAGTTTATTATATCGTAGCACGTAGGCTACGTAACTCGTAGTACTGCGTAACACCTGGTAATGCGTAGCAATGTATCGACTAAAAAATATTACACAAACTTATATATCATACTAGCCAACGCCCGCGACTTTGTCCGCGCGGTATTAAAAAAACATAATTGGTAGCCTATGTGTTCTTCCAGACTATGTTCTATATGTATGCCAATTTCATCGTGATCCGTTCATTCGTTCTTGAAAAATACCTTCAAACAAACTTCCATCCATCCATCTACACATTCGCATTTATAATATTAGTAGGATAGTTGGATGTGTTTATGTATATTTAAATTCACAACATATAAAATTTTCTCGTAGTAGCTGACGTTACAACAATTCAACGCGGACTATTGTGTGGCGGTTGGATTCGTTATAGCGAAATATTCGTTTATCGAAGCGCAAAAGCTCTAGTAAGGGGAAAAATATACAGAGTTTGTCGAAATATTATTCAACAAAAAATATACATATTTTCAATATTGTTAACATAAATTACTTTACTCCGTAATAAATGATAGATCAAAACCATAAAATTAGCTTTTCTTTATTAGGTATTTGTGTTTTCATCTACCAAATTATTTTATTTTTTAAATATTATTTGCGTCCAAAACCAATTTTAAACCATGTTTAAACTTATATAAAAACGCGATTATTATATTCAGTGAGTAATGTCCGCGAAAGAATACCAGTACCACTCACCCTGATGAAGGGCCCGCTATGGGCTCGAAACTAGTCGGTGCTGCCACCGGACGAATGTACCTGAGTGTTTAGCCGCTATTATATCAGTTTATTATATTGTCACACGAAAGTTTGAATAATTTAAACCATGTTTGTTTATTTTTTAAGATATTTTTAAGTACTAGCAAATTATAATCATCTTTACAAGATTTTTCTTAAAACTCCGTACATATTTAAAGCAAACATTACTAAGCAATTAATGGTTAAAATCGTCCAAATATTACAGCCACTCGGGTTTTCATAAAATATGAACTTAAACTCCGGCAGCCTCAAAAACAACCCACCCCTATAAATAGAAGGGTTGAGGTCATATACAAGAATAAAAGCTTAAAATCGGTTTACCGCCATCCGGATAAACGTACATTAATAACGAACACAGTATTGCAGAAACAAAAATTATATAAAAGAGTTTCTGCTTATATACTATGTTCATTTTTATATAACTGCTTTTAATAACAATCATAGAATTTTTCTACGAAAATAAAGTGTTTCAGCAATGGAACTCCTGAGAACTGTAAGACTTTTCAGTCGATAACATGAAAAGATTTTCGAATATTTGCTATCAAAAGTAGAGTTATAAAAAAATTAACATAATAACTAAGCAGCAACTTTTGTTTTTAGGCATCATTGACACACAAGAATATCTGCAATACCAGAGGAACTGCAGTTACGCAGGCAGCCTTTAAGAAGGTGATACGTATCGTGCCTTTAAGAATCTACATTAACAGGAGGTGCAACTCACCGTATAGCGCAACTGGCGCCGTCTTCATCATCCTCCCTCTTGCGTCGACGGCGTCGTACGTACAAATACGCGCCAATACTGACCAGCAACGCCACCGCACCACAACTCAATATCGATATCAGAGCTATGTTGTGCTTCTTCATTTTGATCTGAAAACAAAAGAAAAAAAAATAATGCTACTATTTATCGTGTCTTTTTCCTCAAACGATGTCTTTCAAGGTCATAATGTTTGGGGTGTATGCGTTCCTAAAGCACTTGCACAGATTAGTTATAATAATTCTAAGTACGCCAAAGAAGGTTGGACTTTAAATATTGTTTATTTTAGATTAGACCTTTTGCTTGCACTATGACATGGAAAAAATTCAAAATTATAAATCTTCATTGTTGACTTGTAGATTATATTTGATTATTTAACAATTACACTTATTTATAATAGATTTTTTAAATAAGTTTTACTTTAAAATTGTAACTGGTGTATAAAATATAAACAACAACGGCCAATTAAAAAGAAATTTTTAAATAACAGAATAACGAATAAACCAACTCTAGTTTCGTAGGCACTTAACAAATGCGATTTATCGAAGCGTACACAACAATCCGTATCACGGGAGGTAAACCTGGCATCGAAATTTTCAACTGCTCCACATTTTGATCTCTGCTCTTGGCCCTTTTCCAGAAATTGAAGCATAGCAATTACAGAAAGATGTTTATTTCGAAACCCACAATTGATTTTCCAGATAAGTGGTCGTTTTGTTTCAATCTTTTTATTATTTGAGGGTAGATAAAAAGTTAATAAATAATTAGGTATAATAAGTAATTAGGTTACATGACCGTTCTATTTAACTTCACTTTGAGTTATACTCACTTCTTTTATAGTTTATTATGCAAATTTACATATGAAGGAAATATTAAACAAAAGACGACACAGTCTCTCGCAATCCATCTAGTAGTGTAATAGTTTAAAAATGTTAAATTAAACTGCGTAAAATGGTAAAAGAAGAGAGTTGTATAAACTTACCATGGTCTAAATTATTATTTTAACATTTAGTATTTTCCTAAGTAAGGATTTTATCCGAGTCCGTAGTTAATACATTTTTCAAATTCACCATACACGGTATTTTGCATTGATATCTTAAACTTCGCCATTAATACGTCTTCTTTATAAAAATTAAATTAAATTTAACACACATTTTACTACCAACAATTTTTATTCTTTTTACAAATAATTTACTCCATTACTTAAAATAATTTTAAAGCTACTGTCAAAAACTTTCTTTTTAATGAGATCAGACGCATCTTTCTTGCCTGCCAGTATTTAAAACTGGCCAGCACAATTAAAAATAATTTTATTGTGTGTACTATTTTTTTTTTGTTTTAAAAATTTAATGATGCCTAATAAATTAAAAATATAAAATTAGTCTTAATTATTCAATGTTAAAAGAGTTATAGTTAGTTATCATTTTTACAGTAATTTATAATTTTATATGAACTTTTTAACATGTATGGAGCTATTAGAAGATATGGTGTTCGAGTGTTCTAAATTTGAATTTGTACATTGTTCTTCATGTGGTAGAAGGTATTCTAAATTCAAAATCTTAATTCATAATTAATCGAATTTTAGTTACACGGAACGTAAAGTGTCAAATAATTAAATTAAAAAAATTCTAAAAGAGTTTTCAATAAATTTTAAATTTTTGGAAAAATAAAATTAAACATTTAACAATTTTATATGGCAATCTTGTTAGTCTTATCAGTTGTATGAAACTGCGAATCACGTTTTGTTTTGTGAAAATTAATTACAGCCTGTACATTTGTGAAAATATCCAAAACTGAATTTTGATAAAGAAATATTGTGTAAAGTGGTTATACTGAATATTATAAAACATCAGTTTAGCAACAATTATCTTTCAAAGGCGACCACAACATTAAGTGGTGAGTACCTTGATTTCTCTTTGTAGTAAGCCTTTTCTTGACATTAGATGTCAGTAATATTATTTCGTTTAATGATTAGTCATAATAGACGAGACATTTTTTTATTTTCTTATAATCAATTAAGTAATTTAACCTTGATCGCGAACCATGATCGCGAAGTTAAAATACCGCCATATTACTTCTAGTAATTCACATTGTTTTCTTTGTTTTTTTAAAAGATTGTTATGATGATAGTATGTGTTTAAGTAGTTTTATGACAATGAAAACCCACAGCAAGGGTACGTGCTACGTGCTATTTCAACCTGTTCTCCCTTATACCGAAAGTACCCACTTAGATTTAAGGAATTTTCCTCGTCCATATTCTTATTTTGATAATATTTATGAAACGTGTTTTAACGAACATAATCAAATTATAATTTTCCTTTTCACTTTTACCCTGGTTTGTTCGTTAATCGTTTAAGTAATTAAGATAAAGATTCATTAAGAAATTAATGAGTCGTCTTCGTTAAACTACTGAATATTCTCTGTCATTATCGTCACTCGCAAAATAACGTTCCCCGTGACTGTTTCAAGTAATAATTGCGTACGATAATTAAAGACCTATTATATGTAGGATCAAAAATCTATTTACTGTTTGTTATTAACAGAAATTACTTGGATATTCTTTTTATAATTTTACCTTCGTCCGAGACTCTTTCGCGCGGAATTTGAAAAAAGAAAACATAATCATTAGCCTATTATTTTTTCCTGGCTATGTTCTATATGTATGCGATATTTCATCGAGATCCATTCAGTCGTGATGGAGATACCTTCTAACAAATATCCATCCATCCATCAAACATTCACATTTATAATATTAGTAAGAAGTAAGATTTTGAGATAAAGAATTAACTTTGAATATTTTGTCAATACTTGTCATCTTACTAAGGTTAAGTGCATACTAAAATAGATTTTTTCTTCAAACAATAGGTGTAAGTGAACTTTTTATACTATAGATACTCTTTTATACATTTAAAATGGCTCGTTAAGTGTGTAAGGAATGAGACAATATGCCCTAGATTTCGGACAGGTTTAGATGCTATGAATTCGGGAGAAGCGCGCGATGAAAAGGGTCTATGCGGAGTACGATGCGGTGTGGCCGAGGTCACGATCGACCCGGGCGCGTTTACGTTCGCTAAATAACTGTCGAGCTAACGGTCAAGTTCACTCATGAAAAGAGTGTGCTTCGTTTTATCTTCATTCATAAAAGTACGTTATTACGTTATTTATTGATACATTTAGTATTAAATATGTCAGCAGTAGGAAATCATAAGTTAAAGTCACTATTAAGGATAAGTAGGCATTTTTTTTATTTTAAATTAAGTTAAAATTGTTATGTAACATTTTATATGTTTAGTTCCGAATCGCAGGTTGCTGGTTAGATTGTAATGAGACAAAGATTAATAGTATAAAAATACTATTTATTTACTTCATGTCTGTTGAAAACTCACTAATGTCATAAATTCGAATGTTTGGATGGATGAATGGATGCGTGGTCGATTAGTCGATTAAATTTTGGCGTGAATGTAGAACATAATCTAGTAGAACACATAGGCTAATAAGTCGTTTTTAATTCCGCGAGGACAGAGTCGCGGGCGACTGCTAGTCATGTTGTAAATTACATTCCGTGTAAATTGTCACATGTAAAATATAACAAGTAGAAATTGTCGAATACAAAATATGATGCGAGTAAACTCTCTCGTTACAACAGACCACCGCGCTTTGATAATGAAAACGAAACGATATCTGTGGACGACGTGTTCCGAACTACGTGATACTATTGAGAGAGTTGCTGACAAAACTGCTTTTTTAATGTCACGACTTTGTGAAATGGAAAGAATACAAACTGCTAACTGCGAGCTACCAATTACATAAACTTTATACTTGAACTTTACATTGTTTTTAACAAAACAAACAACCCTATTATTTCTACTATATAGTTAATAAATTATGCGATTTTTTTGTTGATTCTCGTAAACATTTTTATATGAATTGTTTTTTTAGAAATAGTATCAGCAGTGTCTTTGCAAAGACTTTCAAACGCGTGAAAATAAATTCTTTAAAGGAGAAAAATATAAACAGCGCCATCTATTGGAGGACAGCTACACTTTGTAGTGTAACTTCACAATGACTCCCTCTATTTTTTGATATGTTTTAAAATCTTAAACCGCATGAGACAGAGTGAAATTCAACTGAACAACAAAATTACCGTTTTGCAGGAATATCAAAACTAAATTAATCATATTATGGCCACCGAATTTTGTTAATTTTAAAGTAATTTTTCGGATTATTAAAACAAACTTATGCGAGTAAATTTACTATATGTCAGTAAATTTTATTATGTAAGTATCACAATAAACATTGTATGTTTTCGTAATTTCAAAAATAAAACAATTCAGGTATTTATTTTTATTCAATGAAACATATTTCACATCCCATCTTAAGTGTTCCTCGTAACAAAGCGTGTCGACGGAAACTGAATACGTGATCTGAGAGCTGTAATTGAATGTTTCTTACTTAGAAAATACTTCAAAGAAAACATGAAACAAATTGAATTTCTTAGAAGTATTTCTTTATTTGATTATCATTATATTATAAGTACTAGTACTTACATTACTTTTTTTATATTAAAGTGGCAAAGGAACATATGGCCACCATAATTCGACGAAATAGCGAAGCGATCAATGCTCATAGTGTCCGTAATTGCAGATGCATAGCCATCGAGGGACGCACAGAGTCCATCAAATCTTTTTCCCCTTCCCATATTTTTCTTATAAGAAAAGAGTAGGAAAAATTGGCCTTCGGACGTATATAAAAGATATACATATGTAAAATAAAATCTGTGGATTATAGAGTCATATAACAATGACATTGAACATGTAATAAACATGTTTTTGGTAGAGAAATTTCACGGTTAATAATCATGAGTACCGATGTCGCAATTCCTGTTAATAAAAGCATTAACATCGTTTTCTGTCACTTTCAAATCGGGAAATATTTTACGAACACAAACAATTGCCGTAATACTCGTAAAATGTTTACGAACGAACGAAGCGAGCGAATGGCGCCACTGATTTGTTTGCGAATGTCGCAGACGTATAATATGTAACTTAACTGTATCCACTGCCGAAACAGCATTACAAAAACATATTGTTGTCGCATCTACTCTCTATTTAAA